TTTTAGACAATCCGAGGAGCAACCGACCGGAACGGAGGACGGCGCTAGTGGCACGAGAACTGGCGCGCTACAAGGTGGACATCGCCGCACTCAGCGAGACCCGATTCTCCGAACAAGGCCAACTGGAGGAGGTGGGTGCTGGCTACACCTTCTTCTGGAGCGGTCGACCCAGGGCAGAGCGACGAGACGCGGGTGTCGCCTTCGCCATCCGGAACGACATCGCGGGACGACTGCCCAGTCTGACGCAGGGCATCAACGATCGCCTGATGAGCCTCCGCCTGCCTCTCTGGGGTGGGCGCAAATTCACCACCATCATCAGTGCCTACGCTCCGCCGATGAGCATTCCCGACGCCGCCGCAAGGGACAAATTCTACGAGGACCTGCACGCCCTCTTGGCGACTGTGTCGAAGGCGGACAAGTTGGTTGTCCTTGGTGACTTCAACGCCCGCGTCGGCACAGACCATGCAGCCTGGAGAGAAGTACTGGGTCCTCACGGTCTCCGCGGCTCAAACGACAATGGTCTGCTGCTCAGAAGATGAAGATGCGATCACTGGGACAAGAAGTTTATTGGCCTGACGTTTCGGGTTCTCACTCGAGCCCATCATCAGAGACATTCGCAGATAGAGGTAAAGGTGGCACCAGGAATGCAGTATTTATAGCACGTGGCTGCCGTGGGACCGTATGCGCACTGCAATTAACAGTTCTCACAATCGCCGCTGGGGTCGTAATTGATGCGGCGGTGGCTTGGCGGTCCGAGTCCGAGTTGGTAATTGCCGCGATTTCGTCATCCGTGCTCGATGCTGGTGTGACGATTGCTCGGCAAACTGGCTCACTGTCACCGTGATAATTGCTCACCCGCGGCCTCCCCACGTGACTGATTCTCCTGTCCAGGGAAAATCGCAATACGGTATAGGCCACCGGGAGGTCATTGTGTTTGTTGATGGATTGCGGGCCTGAGAACCATGATTCGAGCAGCTCGCGGCTCACGCGGTTGTCACCCCTTGCGAGGATTTCGGCCTCTTGAAATTTGAAATTATGGCCGGGTCCCGTCGAGTGTGCCGCCACCTGAGAGTTAGCGTCTCCCCGCCTCACTGCTGCTGCGTGCTCGGCAAGTCGCGTACGGAGTAATCTCCCAGTTTCTCCGACATAATTGCTTTGTCCGCAACTACACCAGATCCGGTAAACGACTCCAGACGTTTCCTGCCGTGGCAGCGGGTCTTTTGGCCTCATTACTTGGCGCCTAATGGTTGCTTCCGGCCTGTGTGCAATACCAACTCCAAGTGGAGTGAGAAGACGACTGACGGCTTCCGAGACGTTCTTAACGTACGGAAGAGCTCGCCAAAATTTGGGGCTAGTTGGATTTGGTCTCTGGTGTCCTTTTCGTATGCACTGGTTGACAAAGTTGCGCGGGTAGCCATTGGCTCTCATTACCCGTCGAAGATATTGTAATTCAGCAACCTTGTCTTCCATTTCACTGCAGTGCGTCTCAACACGCCGGTATAGCGCCCTTACGCAACTGCGTTTGTGACTGATCGGGTGGTTGCTATTGAAGTTCAGTATTTGCGTCGTATTTGTCGCTTTCCTGAACACTTTGGTTTTTAGGCCACCACAATCTTTGCGGCAGACGAGGACATCCAGGAAGGCCAGCTGATTGTTTTCCTCCTCCTCCATCGTAAATTGAATGTCCGGGAAGACGGCGTTGAGTTGTTCTTTGAAAGTCAGCACCTGATCCCGTTCGATGACGACGAAGGTGTCATCCACATACCGAGCCCAGAATTTCGGTCTGTGGTGTCGGAAAACCAGCGACTCCAGCCGTTGAAGGACCGCCTCGGCTATGAGTCCCGAAATCGGCGAACCCATTGGCGTTCCCTTCACCTGCTCGTAGATTGTTCCGTCGAATGTAAAGTACGTCTTGAGACAGAACTTCAGGAGCTGGATGATTTGGGCGTGTCCGAGGCGATTCTCCGTTTCGTCGTACTTCTCTCGTAGGAGTAGTTCGATTGTCTCGACTGCCAGGTCCTGCGGGATAGAAGTAAAAAGGGACGTGACATCAAAGGAAACCATGATATCGCTTGGCAGGAGACTTACTCCTTTAAGTTTCTCCAAGAATTGCGTTGACGAGCTGACTGTGGTGTTCGAATCGGAGGTCAGAAACTTGAGACGTTGGAACAGCCANCGAACAGGCGAGTCCCAGGTAGCAGTTCAGAAGATGAAGATGCGATCACTGGGACAAGAAGTTTATTGGCCTGACGTTTCGGGTTCTCACTCGAGCCCATCATCAGAGACATTCGCAGATAGAGGTAAAGGTGGCACCAGGTGGCATTCCTGGTGCCACCTTTACCTCTATCTGCGAATGTCTCTGATGATGGGCTCGAGTGAGAACCCGAAACGTCAGGCCAATAAACTTCTTGTCCCAGTGATCGCATCTTCATCTTCTGAACTGCTACCTGGGACTCGCCTGTTCGCTTCTATCAGCGGTCTGCTGCTCCTCCGCACCTGCGCAAAACACCGCCTCATCCTGACGAACACCTTCTTCTGTCTGCCGGAGCGAGAGAAGGTCACCTGGAGGCATCCTCGGTCGCGTCAGTGGCACCTGCTGGACTATGTCCTCGTCCGGAGGCGAGATCAGCGGGACTTGCTGGTGACGAAGGTGATCGCGGGTGCTGACGGGTGGACCGACCATCGCCTCGTAATCTCGGGGATGCGTATTCGCCTACAGCCTCGCAGGAGACCGCAAAGTAAGCGACCTCCAGGTAAGCTGAATATTGCCTTGTTGTCTTTGCCTGCTCACCATCTTCATTTCAGCAATGAGCTTGCTCAACGGCTAGACAACCTCCCCATCTCCGACGCCGCCGCTGCTGAGAACGCCTCCGTGGAGAACCGCTGGTGTCAACTTCGAGACACGGTCCAGTCGACGGCGCTCGCCGTCCTCGGTCGCGCTCCCCGCCAACACCAGGACTGGTTCGACGACAACGACGCCGCCATCAGAAATCTGCTTGCTGAGAAGAACCGCCTACACAAAGCCAACGTAGATCACCCCACTGAGGACAACAAAACTGCCTTCTACCGCAGTCGTCGTCAGCTTCAGCAACGACTGCGCGAGATGCAGGACGCCTGGACTGCTCGCAAAGCTGAGGAGATCCAAGGGTACGCGGACCGCAACGAATGGAAGAACTTCTTCTCCGCGATCAAAGCTGTCTACGGTCAACCGACGACGGGCACTGCTCCTCTCCTCAGCGCCGACGGCAGCACTCTCCTGACTGAGAAGACGCAAATCCTACAGCGATGGGCCGAGCATTTCCAGGGCGTCCTCAACCGCCCTTCCGTCATCTCCGACGCCGCCATCGCCCGCTTGCCGCAAGTGGAGACCAACGTGGACCTCGACCTCCCGCCATCTCTCCAGGAGACCATCAGGGCCGTGCAGAAGCTCTCCAGCGGGAAAGCACCCGGATCGGACGCAATCCCTGCTGAGGTCTACAAGCACGGAGGTCCCCTACTGATGGATCACCTGACTGCACTCTTCCAGGAGATGTGGCGTCAAGATGAATTCCCGCAAGATTTCAAGGACGCAACTATCGTGCACCTATACAAGCGAAAAGGGAATCGCCAAGTCTCCGAAAACCACCGCGGCATCTCCCTACTGAACATCGCCGGGAAGATCTTCGCTCGCATCCTGCTCAACCGTCTCAATAACCATCTGGAACAGAACCTTCTCCCGGAAAGCCAATGCGGCTTCCGTCGTCATCGTGGGACCACGGATATGATCTTCGCCGCCCGCCAACTTCATGAGAAGTGTCAGGAGATGCGGGCCCACCTGTACTCTACCTTCGTGGACCTGAAAGAAGCCTTCGACACGGTGAATCGTGAAGGACTGTGGAAGATCATGCAGAAATTCGGCTGTCCGGAACGATTCACTCAGATGGTACGTCAGCTACACGACGGTATGATGGCGCGAGTCACGGACAACGGAGCTGTCTCAGAGGCATTCGCAGTGACCAACGGAGTGAAGAAGGGCTGTGTGCTGGCGCCTACCCTCTTCAGTCTCATGTTCTCTGCCATGCTGATGGACGCCTACCGCGACGAACGCCCCGGGATCCGCATCGCCTACTGAACGGACGGTCATCTCCTGAATCACCGGCGCATGAACTTCCAATCGCGCGTATCCACAACAACCGTCCGCGAACTTCTCTTCGCCGACGACTGCGCCCTGAACACCACCTCCGAAGCGGAGATGCAACGCAGCATCGACCTGTTCTCCGCCGCCTGCGAGAACTTCGGTCTGATCATTAGCACGCAGAAGACGGTGGTGATGCACCAACCTCCGCCCAACTCAGCCACAGCCCCAACGCGCCGCAAATCCGCGTGAACGGAAATCAACTGCAAGTGGTGGAGAACTTCCCATATCTGGGAAGTACCCTATCTCGCAACACAAAGATCGATGACGAAGTCGCCAACAGAATCTCGAAAGCCAGTCAAGCCTTCGGACGCCTCCAAAGCACAGTTTGGAATCGCCACGGTCTCCAACTGAGCACGAAGCTGAAGATGTACAAGGCCGTCATCCTGCCGACGTTACTGTACGGAGCAGAGACATGGACGGTGTACACGAGGCAGGCACGTCGACTGAATCACTTCAACCTCAGTTGTCTCCGTCGCATCCTGAGGCTGAACTGGCAGGACCGCATCCCCGACACCGAAGTGCTGGAACGGACGGGAATCCTGAGCATCTACTCCATGTTGAGACAAATACAGCTGCGCTGGTGTGGCCACCTGGTGCGCATGGACGACGAGCGACTACCCAAACGACTCCTACGGAGACGTCGCGACGGGTTCTCGTCGTCAAGGAGGCTAAATTCGCCGTTACAAGGATACCCTGAAGTCCTCCCTGAAGCGCCTGCAAATCAACCCGACCAACTGGGAAGAGCTCGCCCGCGATCGTCCGACATGGAGGAGAACAGTGAAGACGGGCGCTGCCATCTACGAAGCCAACCGCATCGCCGCCGCCAAAGTGAAACGCGAAGTCCGCAAATCACAACTTCGCCCAGTACGCAACGCCGCCGCACAACCGCTCCCTACGTGTCCTCGATGTCAACGGACATTCCGGGCACGAATCGGACTTGTTGGACATCTTCGGATCGACTGCACCTCTCGAACTGCTCCAGCCATCGTCCCCCCGCCCGCCTCTTCCTCGTCCTCTCTTCCGCTAACTAACTCTGACACTCCTTCTGCACCACCACTTCCATCCTCCTCCTTCTCATCCACTGTCCCAGCGGCGGCCGTTCAGGCTGCCGTCTCACACATCACCAAACCCGACACAACAACCGCCACCACCCCCACCTCTCCCGATTCCAGTGATGAGGATCAGGACTACACCTGCCCTCACTGCGACCGCACCTTCACCTCTCGCATCGGCCTGATCGATCACTTGCGAATCCATCGCACAGAGACTGGTGAACCAGTGCCTGGAGCACCAACCTACACCCACCGCACTCGCCTCCACTGCCCACAATGCCCTCGCACCTTCACTCATCGCATGGGTCTATTCGGCCACATGCGCATCCACGAGAGCGGCATTGATCGCACTCCCGACACACCCACCACATCCAACACATCCACTGTGCACACCCCCACCCTCGCTCCATCCGTCTGCTCCAAAACCACCCCAACCACCTCCTCTACAGCTGACACCGACACCGCCGAATTCTCATGCCCAAACTGTCCGCGCACATTCACCTCACGCATCGGCCTGGTCGGTCACTTGCGAATCCACCGCACAGAGACTGGCGAACTAGTGCCTGGAGCACCCACCTATACCAACCAAGCTCGTCTCAACTGCCCACACTGCCCTCGCACCTTCAGACATCGCATGGGCCTATTCAGCCACATGCGCATCCACGACGACCTGCGGTAGACAACCGCCGGTCACACCACACCTTCACTCACTCCCTACCTCCTCCACCACCGCCACCATCACCCCACCAGAAATCAACACTCACACACCTCATGCACCGAACTGCCACCTCCCACGCAAGTGGGAAGTGTGCATCTCGACTCGGTCCTCATGTGGCTTCGGCTGCAGGAGTGACTTGAGTCCGAGACTTTCCCGACACGTCAAGCGTCGTGGATAGGAAGGTTGCTGATTGACGCCCGCTCTCGGTTCACGCAGTTCGTCGCGTTGTGAGTTGTGTTGAGTGGCGGACTGGTGGGCTGGGCGGCGGGCTGAAACAGCCCCTTCCATGGCTCTCTCACGCAAGTGAGAGACAAGCCACTCAACCCCCGTTGTGTGAAATCCTGGTGTTTGTGTATGGGGGGCCAGGTCGTGCCGTGGCGCGCGCAGTCATGGTCAGTCGACCATTCGAGCCACCGCGCCCATCTCCCACTCCAGTCTGCTGACCGGCTCGGACAGCGGCTGGGGTGTGGGAGTGGGAAGGGCGAGTGAGGTCGACGACTCAGCGCACTTTCTCCTCACTATAAACAATCTGACGCGCTTGAAGCTATCACGGTGCGCTAAAAGCCGTAGCTTGGAAGGTTGCCAACTGACGGGGTAACTTGGACCTCCTCCTTGACTGGAAGCGGTCTGAGAGTCAGGCTGCGATGGCTCCTTTTTAATGTGGCATTTATGGCACTTCCATCGCAGTGTGGAATCGGAGCCAGGCGTCGGCGGCACGCCCAGGTGCGGCTTCGGCCGTGCCAGCCTCTAAATCTCTGTTGTTTTGGTTGAAATCCTGGTTTTTGTTGTGTGGACCAGGGGGTGTGGTGGAACGTCAAGGTGAGGATCCGTCCGAGCCATCCACCTGGGGCCTCCCTCGTCTCCGGTCTTCTTGACTCTGTCTTGACACTGGGCCCAGGTGGGAAAGAGAGAGTGCGATAGATACTGCACAAGTCTACCAAGTTATCATGCCTGCTCTCACCCTGCTGTGGAGCACACGGTTGACATAGTCGAACTGTCGGGTGAATCGTCGACAGAGGCAGGTTAAGTACGGAAGTACCTGGACTATGTTTCCATTCTCAGGTCAGCAATATCAGGAATGTCAAATACACACACGCCAAGTAACAGTCACACTCGGTTTATTCTGTCGTGAAGTTTAAGCTAGGCCTCCTGAAGTCCGGCACATAGCAATTAAATAAGATTTCACAGCTAAGGTACTTAGAAAGAAACGACCACTTTCTCTTATTTGTTGCAATCAGACGCCAGCAGGGAACAGGATGTGGATCGGATAAGCAGTGTTCACGTTATGCGCAGCCTGTAAGCGTCGTAGATGTTCAAAATTAACGAGCGTGCTCGTCTCTATGCAATTGTCACAAAGGGCTCCATTCCGGGCTCCGTAACCATCCTTTTATATGCAGCAGACTGCAGAGCCAACTATCAGTGAGAGAAAATTTAAATTCAAAAACTGGTTTTACGTCTGTGAAGTTCTGGAGGTGGGAGATGAGCACGTCTGTCAGAGGAAGACTGAGGCGTTCAGTGGTTTCCCCCTTCGAATCTGTCCAACAATTTTTGATCCTAGGTGGTGATCGGCGTTCACCAGAAAAATTGCATGTACATCGGATATTTTAGCAAATGGCACTGGCAGCCCGTTTTCAGAAGTCCGGTTTGCCTTAGCAAGTGTGAACTTATGAGACACATCCCGTCAGACCTTATGCAAAATTTACTGATACAGGCTGTGGTAAAAAGATATATTCAAGTTAAAATAGACTTTATCTTACGTCATAGAAACGTGTATATTGTCAACTACAGAGGTGATACCATTTTTGGGAGGCAAGCCACGCTTCTCGCATTTTAAATTACATCGCCCGCCCCCACCTACGGAATTCTCGATACTGTCTTGCCATCGAAACAAGGTGGGTGAAGAGGGGGAGATAGTGCAATAGGTGCAGTGCAAGTCTGGCTCACTAGTACCAAACCCACCCGAAAGTCACTGCTGATGCGCCCACTCACTGGGGCATGCGTTGGGCGTCGTTGTTTCTGGCGGTGCAACTACTGTGCTGATTTACCTCACCTCCAACTTCAACTCCGTCTACTAGATCGCGGGTCTCATCATCTGCCTACATGGATAATGACCAGTAATTGACTTATTTGGACTCCCTCTGGTCGTCTGGTAAAGAAGAAACAAGGCTTGTCAAATGACTGGACGGTTGCAGATGTTTTGCGTGTGATTGTTGCCTATCTTTTGCCGAGTTGCCCCAGTTGGGCAACGGGAACCGTCTCCTGTCACTTGGGGTCTACTATCCGCATCTCCGGATGGGCACATGCGTCAGCGCCTGCAGTTTTCGGTCGGTATCTCCTATGTAGTTACCTTCTCTTCGGTTGCACTGGAATCTTTAGACGACACATGAATTAGCCTGCTAGGAATAGGTTCTTTTTGTCGCATCATCTACCGGCAGGATGATCAGTCAGGCCTGTGTGTGTGACTCCTATTGGAACTGGCAGCGATGAAACTGTGGCAGTCTACTCGGCAGTCTACTTGGTCAGTTGACTGTTGGCACCGCGTCCGATTCACCTTTTGACTCGGCGACACCGTGAAGCTGGTCGATTTTTCGATCATCAAAGACTGGCCATGACCGACCATGACTCGGGCGCAGACCAGCACCTCGAGCTAGTGGGCACAACGTCAACGGTTGGTTTACGGCGCAATGAACACTTTCGCTGTTGCTGACCTCTCAGGTGCCTGTACACTTCCAGTAATTCTGTTCCCCTGATTTTTTATTTGACAAAATTTTTGTTGATGACATTTGCACCTCAGCAGACCCCGCCGCGGTTCCGGGACACAGTTAACAAGCTGTATCCATTTGCCATGACCTCCCAGTTCGGCCTTTCCGGTGCGCTCCGTGGACTTTAAAGAGCCCCACGGGTTGATTGGTCTCCACTGTTTTGTCGAGTGTCAAGCCGCTGTGAGTTTGCACTCACATTTGCAACCTCATTATGTTGTAGCTGGCTATTGTTCTGTCAACTTTATCTCCTTTGTGTTGGTTGGTTGTCCGCATACAAGGGCTGATTACATGATTACCACATGGTCATCCGCGGGACTAAAAATGAACTTCTGCAATGAGAAGGGGTGAGTCTGCTTTGATCTCTGAAAAAGCACATCCTACTCGACCTCCAGGTTCTCCTTGTGGAAAGCCAGGTTTGGGTACCAAGTTGAAAGTTGGAAGCTACTTCAATGCCGGACCCAGAAAGCCTATAGATTATGCGTTATCATAACGGAACGGTCGCGCATGAGGGCTGCTCTGGTATAATTGCGTCATTATCTTATGGCGGCTTCGATGATTAAGATGGCATTGGTAAGTCGACATATGCGTAGGAGCACGAACCACAATCAAAATAACTTCAAGAGATAATATGCGGAGTCATGTAATAGACATAAATTC